TTAGGAAGGAAACCCAAAATCACTGCCAACAAACCTTCACTAAAAGGAATACCAAAATAAGTTGTGCAGACTGAAGAAAAGTAATCACAGGTAACACATGGGCAGACAGGAAGAAATTAAAAATACCAGAAAAGATATACAAGGGAGTTAAGCAAATGAATACAGACTTTAAAACAGCAGCAGTAACATCTGGAAAAATCTTAACTTTTGTAACTAAAACATAATAGCCCAAAGAACAGGAGGGTGACAACTAAAAGGTTTGACCTCATTTATATGGCAAGTGGTAAACAGTAATGCATATTGTAATCTCTGGGCAATTGCTAAAGGAATCAAAGTACATATAACTGAAAAGCAATAAAGAATAGAGTATTTGACTAATCCAAAAGAGATGAGAAATAGAGATGGACATATAAAATAATTTCTATCATCCTTATTATACAAAGCAAGAAACAGATTAAATAGTCTCATGTTAAACCATCTACTAAGTAGCACAAGAAAGTCAGGATTACAGCCCCAACACAGAAACACAAGCTTCTAAATTCTACACTATGTTGCTAGACTGTAACTTGTCATTACACTGCGAAGATAAGTGTTCCCAAGTTATCGATGCAATACTAAGACAATGATAGATCTCTACAGTCAACTACAAAGAAAATGCAGCACCCATACAGAAAAGGAAAGAGAATACCTGTACTCAGGATGAAGGGTCTTTAGGATCCCACAATGCAAATAGTAGTGAGATTAGTTGCAATACAGCTGGAGAATACAAAGGTGTTTTCATATGAGTAAGTAAGTAGCCTTCCAATAAAAAATGCTTCAACTAGACTCAAGGGGAGTCTATGCAGCAGCGCACCCAAGATCCAAGTCTTGGCTTATGATTTTCCATCATAACCTATTCCTTAAACTAGTAAGGAGCTCAAGATGGTAATACTGCTCTTGTCGATGATTTGGGAGGTTAATTCATAACCAAGAAAGGCTGACGAGTAAAGAAAACAGTATTGATACATTTGTGCAAGTTATAGTTAGTCTGATATAGTAACAAGTTTTGTTAACTTCTAATGTTTGAAAGAATAAAAAAATTACTACAAATTTAAAATACTGTATTTACAAGTTAAATTCTTAGAAAGTTATGCTTAAATTTGTCTAAGTTTGCCATCCTGAGGTTACTGAAATAATCATGTATGTTAAATACAGTGTGCCCAGGGAAATTTAATTAAGGATAGTAAGTGGTAAATATTTTAAGATAAAACTTATTACAAATTAAAGATTAATCAAAAATAAAAATATCTTTCAGTAAGTATTATATGTAATTGAACTCTACGGTGTAAGAAAAATGACTACAGCTGACCCTTGAACAACAAAAGGTTTGACTGCATGGGTCCACTTACACGGGGGATGCTTTTCAATCACACTGGAAAATTTTCTGGAGACTTGCAAATTTGAAAAACATGTCTATTTTAAGAGAAAAGCATATAATACACATACACAAAATACATGTTCATCAGCTGTTTGTTATTGATAAGGCTTCTGGTCAACAGGAGGCAGTCAAGTATTTTTTTTGGGGGGGGGGCGGGGTCCAAGTTACATGAGGACTCAACGGCACCCTAACTCCCGCACTGTGCAAGGGTCAACTGTATTTAACAACTCTTAAGTAAACACTGATTTCAATACAAATAACTTCTAAGTCTTTTCCTTACACAAAATGCCTACTCAAATATATTTTTTAGAAGCTTAATGACAATAAACCCCCTAATAATAGACAAGGATCTTCACTAAAAGAATTATTTTCCTTGAAACTAGCATACAAAAATGTAGTTATTTAATTAAGTATATCAAGTATCTTCCCCTTTTTAAACACACCCCTCCTTTACAAGCCTAGTCCTTTCCAAATCCCATGCCTACAGTTTTACTACTTCTTCTTTACTACTTGTATCATGAAAATTCCCACTGAATTTTATGAATTCACAGGCCCAATTGCTAATACAAGGTTAGATACTGAAAGAGTACTAATCTAATTCTTCTAAGTAGTATCAAAAATACTCTTTGTTTTCAGGGCACAGGTTGGAGTAACAGCATGGTCACAAGTCTAAGAACTGCAGCTTTGTAGACAGTAACACTGGAATCACCAGAAAGGCTTTTTCAGAACAGTTCTGGCACAAAACAGCAGCAGTCTCAGACTCCAAGAAGGGACTAGCAGTTACCAAAGGGGAGGTGTGGGGGGGATCATAAGGAAGACAGTATAGCACAGAGAAGGCAAATAGTGACTCTCTGGCATCTTACTACACTGATGACAGTGACTGCAATGGGGTGTGGGGGGGGACTCGGTAATATGGGTGAATGTAGTAACCACACTGTTTTTCTTGTGAAACCTTCATGAGAGTATTTAACAGTAACACCTTAATTTTTTAAAAAAGTATAGCAGAAGAGTGGAAGAACAGTGAAGTTTTGGGCACAAGACAAAGTTCCAGATCCCCATATTTTAACCTGACTAAAAAGAGGAAAACAAACTGGAGTTCATGATAAGATCATGCTCAGCATCTTAATTTTAATATTTGGTAAAATATTATAACAGTATAATTTATTCATTCTGTTAATATTAAAAACCTACTGCATTAAAATATATATATAGTTTTGCCAGTCCCACCACAAAGATTTTGATGTAAGTGGTCTGGATTATGGCCTGGGTATCCAGATTAATAAAGCTCCCCAGATGGTTCTGAGCCAAAAATGAGAACTATTGAGAAGAAGCCATCAAGTTAAACATTAGGAAACAAACACCACTTAGGGAATCAATCACACACAACTAGAATGTGAGATTCCACAAGCTAAATGACTGCCTCTTCTGTAAATCAATGGTACAGAAAAAAAAAGAAGAAAAAAAGACATGCAAGATAAAAAAAGAGACTGGAGATCGTTTCAGTACAATGTATGGACCCTATCCGATGCCATCCAAGGAATAAGAGGGAATTCTTAAAATGGACCAGTTACGTATTTTATCTATAAAAGTATCTAAGAACTATGGATTGTTTTACAAACATGATGCTGGCACGATAGTGATTTTAGAAATGGTCTGCAGAATTTAGTGACAAGTGTAATGCCTGAGATTTACTTTAAAATACTTCAGCATGTTAACCAACTAAATGAAAGAATGCCTAGATTTTGCTTAAAAAACAACACAGCCTGAGGAAGGGAGGTAACAGATGCAAGATTCTTGTGATAACCACTGAGGCTAGTACAGAGTACCCGGTAGTTGGTTCATTACTCTATTTTTCTATGTTGGAAGATTTCCACTGATAGTTTAAAAAAATAAAATATATACCTCAAATGAAACCAAACATAGCCAACTGGTCATGAGTTTATGGTATGTGGAGGTTCATTACATTCTTATTTGTCTGTATTTAAAATACTTAATAAAATATTTTTTTAAGGACTTTGGACAACTAGAAGCCACTCCTATACCCTTGACAAAAGAATTCTCCTCCATACAGGAAGCTCATCCTCTACCACAGTGCTGGGAGAATGAGAGGAAGGAGAGGATATCCACCAGACCCAGTCAGGCAGTGAGTGATGATATCTATCAGAAATATTCCACAGATTTGGAAGAATTTTAAGCAGAACTTTAAGTAGAGTTTTAAACAATTCTAACAGCAAAAGCCAAAAAAAAAAACTATTTAAAAAGTAACTCTTCCAGTAGTTACAGCAGTACACTTGTTTCAAAATTTAAGCAACTTTCTCTTCAGCAGCATGACTGCACTGTCTGTAATACTTTTGTTTCATTGATAACGGTATTTTCTCGTATCAACAGAAGTAAAATAGTGCAGTCCTTGAAACATTTCCTTGACTTCAATCTCCAAATATCAAAGTGCCTGCAAACAAAAACGCTGCCATGGCGCAGAATTTTTAGAACTCACTTTCTTGAAAACATTCACTTTGAATATTTGCTTAAAAAAACTCTTAAGGCAGCAACATTGGAACTGACAATTGAGGTACAACCCTTTGATATTTTCACCTGACTTTAACTGTTAATGCTTAACTGTTCACCTACAGAAGATCCCCTTATTTTGTTTTGTGTAACTCAAGGAAGGTGACCATGCTCTACCGAGTTGTTTAGTAGAACTGTAGTAAAAGATCATCCAGAACTCTTTTTTCCTCCAGTTGTTTTGCTCATACAAGATGCTGAACTCCTGACTAAAGACATCTTTTTTCTTAATACGCAAAGTGGCAAAAACATTTTACTGAAAAATGTTTTATTTCACTTAGGACAAACGAGTGGACAAAACCAAATTATACACTGACAGAGCAACGGAAAAAGTTCACAAAGTGCAGTACAAAGAGAACTGTAATCTACCCTGATGGTGCTCCAGAGAAGCTGCACAGGCTCGAGGCTATAATTAGGCACAGCAAGATCAATATAAAAATTCATCAAAAGAAGACAGTTTTATTCACTAAGAGTTGTACAGGTTGGAGAGGCAAAAGCACCACAGGAGTGGCATAATCTCGGTGCAGCAATATTTCCATTAAGCTGCTGAGGGAAAAGGGGAAAAAATGCTAAAGAGAAACATTTCTTCACCTTCCAGAAACCAATGATTCTATTCCTAGGAAACAAGGGATTGGAAGACCTGGGCAGGCAAGAAGAGGAAAACCAATCAGAGGTCCACTTACAAGTCGGGTTGGGACGCCAGCGGGCTGAGAGCAGCACGCTGAGTGGCTGGCGCTACCCACCCACACATACACACCCCCACCACTCACCACAGGCGGCCGCACCTGGCCACCCAGCCCGCCGCAAACCGCGACGCAGGTTCCCCCCACCCAGTCCCGCCGCCCCCAGCGCCGTTTCCTACCAAAACAAACCCAGCCTCCCCAAAACAAAACAAAACCTACTGGGGGAGCCCCGCTGTCCCGGGGACTCCCCCGAGCGCGGCTGAGTCACTTCGCCCACGAGCGGGAGCCCCGATGGGGGCGGGTGCTCTGAAACACCGGACTGGGGACAAGAGTCTCACCAATTCCTCGTAGCTCCTGTTGTGCTCGTTGCCCTCCCAGTCCAGCCTCTTCGGCAGCAGCTGCAAAGACACGAGACGCACAGGAGTGACCACCGAGCGGGGGCCGGGGGCGGTGGGACGGGGGCCGGGCGAGGGCGCGGTGGGACGCGGCGAGCGCCGCGGAGCACAGACCTGGTACTGCTCCAGCTCCTGCACCAGCACCTGCAGCCGACAAGACGCGCAGTTAGGGGGCGGGGGCCGCACCGTGGTCCCTCCCGCGCCCTCCGCCCGCGCCCCCCGGCGGCGGCGGCGGCGGCGGCGGCAGCAAGTCGCAAGCCCGGCCGCTGCGCCGCCACCCGCGGGGCCCGCACTCACCTGGGCGGCTCTCCGACACGGGCCGGCCGAGAGGTACCGGGCGATGAGGAAGTACAGCTCTACGGGAAGACGGGGAGACAGGTCAGAACGGGCGCGGCGAGGAGGGGCGTCGGGCCGGGGGCGCCCGGACGGCTCGTCTTACCCGACTCGATGAGGGGCACCGGCCGTCGGGCGGGCGAGGACTCCGCCATGGCCGGGCGCGGGGCGGGAGAGGACGAACGAAGCGTGTAGGCCGCGCCGAGGCCTGACCGGGCCGGCGTCCCTCTACCTCTGACGCGCCGCCGCCGCCAATGCCGCCATGCCGTGCGCACCGCCACGCCGACGCCTCCGCGAAGTAGTCCCTCCGCGGGAGGAAAAGTAGTCCCTTGGCTGGGTAGCCCAGAGGCCTGGCGCCTGACGGTCGGGCGCCTCTCCGAAGATTGAGCCTCGCATTCCTCCCCTCGGCCTCAGGGCGCGGGGAGGGGAAACAGATGGTAGGCAAAGGCGCGGCCTGGGAAGCGCCGAGTGGGGGAGGGGAGCGCGCGTGGCCGGGATCCCTGCGCGCTGTGCGATGGAGACCGGCCATTGTGGGGCGGCTGCGCGGCGGCCGGCGCACTCGGGCGGGGGCCGTCCTGGGGCCGCGGTTGGGTGGGGGTGGGTCGTCCGCCCCGGTCGGAACCGAGCCCCTCGGTGGGACCGCGGGGGCCTGGGATGCAGCGGGGTGGGTCGGGTCGCCTGCCTCGAGCTCTCGGAAAGGGACGTTTCACGGACTGTCATTGGGGCCAGTGTGCTTCCCCCTCAAGGGAGAGAGAGCGCACTCTTCGAGGATGCGAACCCCGAAAAACTGGGAGCCAGGCCACCTGCAAGGAAGAGAACGTGGGCCTGCGAAGCTTCCCCGGGAGGGGCGGTGGCATGCGGGGAAGCCACAGGTTGGGAGCCGGGCGCAGCAAACGTTTACTGAGGGTCTACGGTGCCGCTCGCAGTTCGCGGAAGACGGAATAAATAAGACCGAGTCGCAGTCCACTAGAGAGAAAGGGTTCAAGAAATGCAGTACATCGCAAGGATGTAACTCCCGCTAGTCATGGGGAGCAGCTGGCGATGATCTACCCGAATAGGAAGAGGGGTAACAGGAAACTGGTAGTGCTGGTAGGCCCGTTCCAAGAAAGAGAAGCAGGAACCTTGGGGGCACACTTGAGGGGAACCGTGTCTAGTTGGGATTCTCTTAACCGACAGTGGTAGGACTTGAGGTTGGAGCAGTGAACGTGGGCCACGAAGATTTCCTTACTTTGCCACACTAGACTTCTGAGCTGACAGGCTTCATTCGTACGCAGTTTATCTAGTGCGTCCTATTCTGAGCCCTGAGTACAGCAGTGAGCAAAACAAACCTCCCTACCCTCGTGGAGTGTACATTGTCATTATGAATCCTGCTCACTGGAATAACTCCCGTGGCATAGAGAGGTTAGAAGTGATTCAGATCAGAATCCGATGGGACTGACCCCGGGCCTTGTCCAGCTGTTAGATGTGTGACTTTGAATAAATCATTTAAACTCAGCCTCAATTTTCCTCACCTGTTAAGTGTAAATATTTGTGCCTACTTTGTAGGATTGTGCGGATTTAATGGGTTAATATATTCCTAGTACCTGGTATACCAAGTACCATATACATGCTAGCTTCTATGATTATTTACACCAAATAACAGAAGTTCTTACATATGTAAGCAAACAATCCAGGCGTTTGGGCAAGTGCATCAGTAATCTGTTCTTAACGTCTGTTAAGTTAGCAAACACTATCAAACAAGGGACATAAAGTGATGACAGAATAAACCGCAGCTTGCCATGGAAGACTTTAGTATCCCTTAGGAGAAACAGATGCAAGCACATAAAGACAAGATTTAAGGCAGAGGTAGAAGGGAAGGGGAGGCATTAGGTTGGAGTCAAGTTAAAATTGGAAGCAGCTGAAGGGTTCTAAGCCAGCAAGGATCCATTTTCATTTTAGGACAGATTTGAGAAGGATAAGACCAGGAGACAGGAAAACCACTTAGTAGACCCATGAAATGGGAAAGAAATGAAGATACATCAGGGCAATGGTTATAAGGACAGAGAGAGATGGGTTCAGAAAGACAGGTTAAATCAAGGTGAGGGTGAAGTGGACTGGGAAGGAAAAGCCAGAAAAAATCTCAAGTTTGGGGCTTAGTAGGTCAAGGCTGTGCTGCCAGCTGAGAGAGGGTGTACAGGGTATAGCTAAATTGTTAAGATGGATAACTACTTGGAATAACTTGATTATTTGAAGTTACAGAACATATATTCCTGTGGAGCAGTATGATCTCTTACTACAAGTTTCCCAAAATTACCCAAGGATGAAAATTTAAAAAGGGGGAAGAACTCAAACCTTCAAACACAAGGAGTTGCATATTTCATTTTATAACAATATCACCAAAGTAAAAGATAGCCCCCAAAATATGTAAAAAGAATTTATACCCCAAGCATTGGTCATGGTCCCTAACTACAGATGATGTGTGGGCAGCATAGTAACCATCACAAGAGATCTGAAATGATGACGGGAGACCTGGCAGTTAGGTCCTTTATAACTCAAAAGAGCCCTGACAGTAGCTTAACAACTTCCTCTGATGCCTGTGACAAATTCTCTTCCTGGGTTTGAAATAAAAACTCAGATTTCTGACAAGAAACAGAGTATCTTCCCCATTCAACTCTCAAATAGCAGAGACCCAGATGTGATTCCCACTTAGGCCACTGAGGAGGAGGAAAAGGGAATATACTTCCCATCAGCAACTCTATGGTGTCCTGCCAGAAGTGGTCTCAAAAAGTGAGAACCATGTATGTCCCCCTCACACAATTGACCCCGAGCCCTTCCAAATGCACACACTAAGGTTTGTTTTTGGGTAGATGGAAATAACTTAGAAATTTCACAACAGGAAAGCTACACAGAGAGCTAAAATACCAAAAAGTTGGTGAGTAAGAGTTGAGACCTTGCTGGTGACTTCTTCTATAATAATGTCACCCATCTCTACTATAAGGGAAGTACAGTGTTTTAGTCTTTAGCAAACAACCCCTTTGCTTGATAAACATGACTGAGCTTCACAACAGCTCTTAGTCAGTTGCTATTAATATGCTCATTTCACAGCTGAGAAAGCTGAGGCCCAGAGGGAAGAACCCGAGGGCATGCAGCCAGGCTAAAAGCCTGTGGGACAGACCACCTCAGAGTGAACACCAGCCATGCATAATTCTTCTTCCCTTCGCCTCATTTCACATGGAAGAAATCAGGGCCTGAAAACTAGGGGATTTACGTAGATTCCACAAGTAGTCATGAGAGAGCTTAGATTTGAAAATGCATAAATACATTCATGGTCTCATCTCAGGCAACTGAGCTAGAATCTGTTATTTTCAGATGAAGACACAGGCATAGAACTCGCCTAAGGATGAAAAAAATCTTTAAAAAAATTTTTTTTCAGTATGGCCTTCCAAGTCACCACTTAGGACTGACACCAAACATTAAGTATGAAAAAAAAACTATCAGGAAAATGGTAAGCAAAGCTGTCTTTTTCCAACAATTCATATAGGAGAGTGGTCCAAAATGAAGAATAAAGAGAAGATTAGGGTCAATTTTGAAAGAGTAAAAACTGATAAATCTGTGAGCAGTGGAGATATGCAAAGAAAATTATACACATAATTCAAATTCTATCAACATGTTAATGTAGATGTACCTTAGCTGAATTTCATTTTCCTGGCACTCGCTGTTGGTGCATACATGACTGCAGCATCGTTCTAAGTTTATCTTCTGGCCAGAGGGTTTCAGCCCTAGGCAAGTTCACTCTGGATTTGGTGAGGCGTAGTAACAACAACGGAGCAGTTGGGGGGGTAAAAGGGTTCACACCAAGCTTTATTCTCACAGGCAGCAGTTCAAGTGCTAGAACTACACACGTGCGGTTAATGCTGGCTCCTGGGCTTGCCTAATATAAATCCCCTAGAAGTAGAAGAGTTAACATCTTGATAGGTTTCCAGAGGACTTTGAAAGAAAAAATGAATGAAGGTGTATGATTTTTTGATAAGCCCTCTGGCGCTGGTAGCTCTCGCCTAACTCCAGGGGCCCCTCCCCCACCTCCTGGCAGTGTCCTCCTTCCCTCAAGTCTAACTCAACCAGCTGTCTGGTCAAGCTGCTTGTCCCTGCCTCCCTCAGCAAATTGTTTCCACGTGTATCTCTTCCGTCTGCAGCCACTGCCTCTCCCTTGTCATTGGCCTCCGTCCCTGTGTGTTCCCATATTGCCAGCATTGGCTGTGTCTGTCTCCAAGTCTCGGTATTGTAGAAAACACAGTGTGGTTGGACAAGACTGGGAATGTGGAAGCTGGAAATCAGAATACGTCTGAACACTACTCACTAGTTGAGCAACCTTCCTGTGGCTTAGTGTTTGTTTTGGTTTGTGTGTGTGTGTGTGTGTGTGTGTGTTTTTAAGGTATCATTGATATACACTCTTGTGAAGGTTTCACAACAAAAAAACAATGTGGTTTTTACATTCACCCTTATTATCAAGACCCCCACATACTAGTAAGTCTGGGGAGAGGAAATTCCGGGTAAAAATACCTCTAAAAACCGAAATCAAAGAGAGAAATAAAGTTTAAAATGTTTATTGCTTACAACCCGCACTCTGGGGCTGTTTCTCTCTTTCCTGCTCCTTCAGAAGCAAAACCAGCCCTCTCCTCCCCTCTCTGATGTAGGTAAGCCCTCTTTGTCCAGGTAATTACCCATTGATATAGAGATGAACTTCTCTCCACCCCTGAGGAATGATGCAAATGCACTAAAGCCATACTTCTTTCCACCTCTGAATGCCTATTGATATGCAGATATATTAAAGCCAGGCATGATATTCTGGAAATATTACAATTTTACCCACATACCCCATTGCAGTCACTGTCCATCAGTGTAGTAAGATGCCACAGAATCCCTATTTGTCTTCTCTGAGCTACACTGTCTTCCCTGTGATCCCACACATACCATGGTCACCAATCATGATATCCCACAATCCCCTTCTCCCTCCCTCCCCACCAGCCCTTGCCCACCACTCCCCTTTGGTAATCACTAGTCCCTTCATGGAATCTGTGAGTCGGCTCCTATTTTGTTTCTTGAGTTTTGCTTCCTTGTTATACTCCACAAATGAGTGAAATCATTTGGTACTTGTCTTTCTCCACCTGGCTTATTTCACTGAGCATAATACCCTCTAGCTCCTTCCATTGTGTTTATATACCACCTCTTTATCCATTCATCTACTGACGGACACTTAGGTTGCTTTCATATCTTGGCTATTGTAAATAGTGCTGTAATAAACATA